CTTAGCCAGTTCCCTGCTTCAGCTGGAAAGGCTCACTTCCTGCAAGACATTCCTGAGGAGGAGCCACGTGGACCTACCCTGACGCAGCCCTGGGTCCTGGAGCAGCCTCCTGGAGATCCCTGCCTGCGCTGAGATGCTTACACATTCATTGATTAGGCTTTCCTCCTGAAGTCGGCATCACTGTGTGTGTTTTGTGGGATGGAGGAGGACTTTGGGGATTGGTGTTGGACACATGGGCTAATGTTGGACTTGTGGGCTTGGGCAGCACTGAGTTGGGATGTTTTCTTGATGTGCACTTACCGTATATATAAAACTCTTTCTTATACATATGAGTTTCTGTGGATTTGTTTCTTTAATGTACGCAGACTAACACAATTTCATTTGAGACACTCTCTCAATCTGTCTCATTGAGGGGCTTCCTCCTTTTTTTGCTGACCCTCTACCAGGTACATTGTCATTTCCCGGAACTGATCTCCCCTGGTAACATGTGCAGAGGAGGTGAGGTGAAGACTCTTCTGTCCTTGTTTCCGAGAAGCACTGTGGATACATTTCTTCCAAGATAACTTGTTGTTGTTGTTGTTGTTACTCTGGCAGTCCAGTGTACATTCAGTATTCTTCTCCAACATCATCATTCAAAGGCATCAGTTATTCTGTGGTCTTCCTTAGTCATTGTGTGTAGCTTTCTTGTGCATGTTTCCATGACTGAAAATACCATGGTTTGGGGCAGGGGTACCTTAGTCCTCAAAGTGACCATTTTGCTTTCTAACGTGTTAAAGAGGTGTTTTCTAGAAAATGTGCCCAGTGCAAATTTTCCCAATGCCCATCATTTAATTTCCTGACTCTGTGTCTCTTTCCATTGATGGTGGGCCCAAGTAAAACGAAATTCTTGACAACTTAATTATTTTCTCCATTTGTCATATGTTGCTTCTCTGTCCATTAGTGGGAACTTTTGTCTTCTTTTCCTTAAGGTATAATGTTAAGGGTGTAGTCTTAGACCTTCATCAGTAAGTGATTTAGATTCTGTTATAAGCAAGGTTTCTGTCAGTCAGCATATTGTAGGCTGTTTGTGAGTCTTCCTCTAATCCTGATAACACCTCCTTCTTCATATAGTCCAATTTCTTTGCTCATTTTATCAGCCTATAGATTGAACAAGTATGGTGAGAGAATACCACACACACCTCTCCTGGTTTTAAACCATTTCTCTCTGAACAACTAACTACCTCTTGTTCTTTGTACAGGTTCCACATGAGAACAATTTGGTGTTCTAAAATTTTCATTCTTTGGATCAACATCCCTAATTTTCTGTTATGTCTTACATAGTTGGGTGTGTTTGCATAATCAGTGTAGCATAGCTAAGTATCTCTCTGGTATTCTCTGTTGTTCAGCCAAGTGATCTCAGCAGTGTTATCTCCCATAGGCACAGTCATGTCCTCTTCTAAATCTAGCTTGAATTTCTGACAGTTCCTTATAATCTGCAACTCGTAACTTCATGTGTTGAGAGTTTAATTATTGATGGTCCATGAGTGCAAGAATTAAGCAGTCTCTGATTTTTATAAACATTTATATGCATTTAGATTAAGAAGCCCTTTTGGTGCTTGAGCTCAGTGTCAGGCTGCTAAAACCCACGAGGTCCGAGGTTTAAACCCACTAGCTTCTCTGAAGGAGAAAGAGGAGGCCGCTCCTATATGGACTTAGAGGCCCGCACACCCAAAGCTGCATTCTACCCTGGTTAGGGTCAATATGAGTCAGACGTGAGTTGATGGCAGGGGTTTATA